CCTGTTTTCAGCAGGAGGAGGCAGAGAGAGTTTCTGTTGAGCTGACACAAACAGCAGACTCTCTGATTACAGCCTCCACTGCACAATGGCTGCTTTCTGCTCACATCTGGACCTTCTTCACACCAAACCTCAGACCACACAGGAATGATGGGAAACCCAGATGGAGCCGGCCAGCAGTTTTTTTCCTCTAAAACTCGAAACGAAAACAAGAGCCGTGGAGGGAAGAAAGTGATTCAAATTAAACTCGTCCAGCGCCTCGTTCTGTCCGCCAGGGAAGCTCCAGGTCCGTCCTGATCTGATGGGTTATTATCTGGATCATTGTCTCACGTGGCAGGGGATGGATCGGTCCTCAGTGTCTGCAGAACGAGCCCACATCATCACTCCTCCGTCACCGTGCTTGTTTCTTTGCTCTCCTTAACAAACAATCATTGATTGTTTCTAAAATACATGAAGGCCAAACCTGGAATGGAAAGTTTTCCCAGGGAAATTCCCTCCTACTTCGGTTTTTAACTGATAAAACATTTTATATCAAATATTTTACTTTGTGTGGAATCAGAATTAGATCAGAATATGAAAACAGTTGAAGGCATCCAGGAATAACTATGAGAGTTCTTCAGAGGTTCTGGTTCTGATGGTTGAAGTTGAACCAGAGGTGCTGCTGTTTCACATTATATAAACTTCGGAGTGGAAAAACGCCGCAGCTGTTTGCGGTTTTTGGCTCCGCGGCGCAGAAAGAAGACTGGGATTTTCAGCACAACTCTCAGAAAAAAACGAGCATAAAAACTGGAATGATTCGGTTCGGATTTAAATGTAAAAAATAAAATCAAAGTTGTCCAAATAAGCACCAAGTGTCTCTCTGACAGTTCTGGGTCACTGGACCCAAAACTGCAAACTGGAGCCTGGATCCAGTTTGCACGTTTTTGACCATCAGCAGATAATTTCAGTTTCAGGAAAAACCCAAAAAAAAAAAAAAAAGGGAGCAGCAGTTCACTCACCTCTCCGGTCCGGACGGTCCACGTCGCTGCTGCTTTCTGTCTGTCTGTCTGTCTGTCTGTCTGCTGCGGAGACTGTTGGACCCGCGGGATCGCGCACAGGCGTCGCGCACACGGCTCCGCTTTACGAGTCTGAAGCTGCATTCAGCTTAGTTTAGGTTAAATAAAAAAAATTTACATTTATCATTTAATCTACAAATTTCCTTTTATTAGCTTTGGAAGCAGATAAACTTAGTTTCCTCTGTTTAAATGTTTCTCACTGATTTAGTCAGAAACGTTCAAAATGGATTAAAAAATTTAAATCAAATACAAACTGTAAAAAGGGAGATAAGCCTTTTAAGATTGCTTCTTCCTGCCGTTGTTTCCTGTGGCAACATGGAACCGTCCATCTTGGTTGGTTCCGGTCCAGAAGGTCCATCAAACAAATAAAACCAAACCTTATTCAATAAAAACGTAAAGTTTATTTAAATGAAGAGTCCAAATGCCAACTAATTCACAGTTACTGATGAACATGGTAGCAGTTTTAGAAAACCAACAATATTTCCTATCAGAGGCTGTTTTTACTCCCTGGAATATATTCTTGAAATTTAATAAAGAAGAGATTTAGTAAAAACAGGAAATGTAAATCAGTTACAGACCTGTGTCAGGTCAGAATATTGTGGTTTTTAGCTACACTGCGATCACGTGATGCGTCCGTCTTATGAAACAGGCTAACGCGTTAGCTTACTGAGGGTTTACAGAAGCTGTCCAGTCTGTTATCTAGTCACTGTAAGTTGTTGGTTGTATTGACCTGAAAGGGAGACGTCGGTGTCTCTAATTATCTGAAGAGATGTTGTATAATTTCTTTATTATGATTTTTTTCAGATTGGGACGAAGTTGTCTGGTTTGGAGCAGGGCTCGTCTCCTTGAGTCTTACTGCTGCTGCCATCTTGTTCATCGACCTGCTGCAGCTGCTCCTTCCCACCACCAGGAGCGCTGCAGGACTGAACAGTGCTGCCCTCTGCTGGCAACCTGTTGAGCTCGACGTTCAAATCTGTTGCTCTGGCCGCCTCGGTTCCAGGCTGGTCGTTCATGGTGTTGTTCCCGTTGGGGTCGTCGTTAGGCATGGGGTCGTTGTCGGGGGCGGGGTTTGTGACGATGCCCATGAACAGAGGGGCCAGAGAGAAGTCATCAACAAGGGCAAACAGGAAAGGGGAGTTGACAGAAAACAAGGAGATGGAGCGCATCGCGGTCACCACGGTGGTGGCGGATGCTTCGACACCTTCTTCGCTGAGCTCCATGGTGGTGGCATGACGGACGCTCGACACCCTGAGGGGCTGCTCAGAAATCCCAGAGAGGTCCGGACCCGAAAACAGGGAACCGAGTCCTGACAGACAAATACAACAGGAGAAAAAAACTCAACGGAGATTTAAATACACAATGTCCTTCAGAGTTTCTATGGTGCTACAGTAGATCTGGACCAGAACCTCAAAACAGGAAACCACACAACTACCAGCAGATTGGCAATTTTCAGAGGATAGATCAGTGTTTGTCCCTTCTTCACACATTCTACACCTATAAGACATAACATGATGATGGTCATATGCCTGATTGGCGTATGTACATGTGTCCATCAGCTGGTTCTACTGGACCCTGCTAATGAACGTTGAATCGATGCATAAGCAGAGTGACATCTAAAATCTGCAGAGCAGTGGGCCATTCAGACCAGAACTGGACATCACCGTGTTGGTGCTATAAGATGGTTAGTGTCTTGGTACTTTATATTGACTCTTTAAGTATGGAAACATGGTGTTGGAGGAAAAAGTTGTTTATATCATCAGATTAATGGTTTGGATTGATCCATGGTGATTCACAGTCAAGCCTATTCTACTTCCTGATGCAGCGATGCAGAAGTTCCTGCTTTGGCACACAGAAGGGGTGACTGGATGCATCATGACATATGTGCATTGCATACTACCATACTATGAGGTTTCCAGCCTGTGTCTCTGCTGATCAATAGAATCACAGTTACTCCTGAGATGCTTCAACAGGCATCAATCTACCTGTCTAACTAACCAATGAGGTGCCACAAGGCTTTCTACCCTCACCCATGCTGGTCAGTGCCTCTTCGAGCTCCTGTCGATATTGGAGCTTCATCTTTGGTACGTTGACCTGCATTGATTTTTCTTGAGGTAGACGACTGTAGAGGTCAGAGATATTTAGCTTGGGAAGCACCGATGAGACGTTTCCTATGGGAAGGATGACTAGGAAGCTGGTGTTTCCTTTGAAGGGAAAGCTGGCAACCTGCAAGGGACAAAGACTCATTTTGTTTGGACGTTCACCAGAAACTAATCCCAGCATCAGATTTCCATGACATATGGTGGTTGTGATACCTGTGCCTGCAGCTGAGGGTCGTTCATCAGGCGTAGAGGATACTGGGCAGATTTCATCATGTCCACTGAGACTGAGTTCTGGCTGTCAAGATAAAACACTCCCTTTGAGGTCACCTGAGGGTCAAACTGGGTCTTCCATTCACCTGACAAACAGATACAGAAAAACAAACTTTTAATCCAGGTCAAGATGCAGACTTCTTTTGTTAAATATGGCTCCTACGGTTTCAGTTCAAACTCAGGGGAACGTGTCATCCTCTTCCAATGCCCTGCATTACCCTTCTAATTGGTGAATGATTGGTTGAAGGGTTCACCTTTGAAGTAAACACCGTTAATGAGCATTAGCACCACGTCATGTGGAATGCTTTCCAAGAAGTTGGGGATGTTTCCATTGGTGACGTTCTCCACCCATTGGTTGACCTCATCCACAGAGACCAGAGGGAAGGGCCGGGACCGGTACCTGGACAGAAAAACAGTTTGAAAACAGGTCTGGCATAGACCAGACCACACAAACATGGCTGTTTGTTTAAATAATTACAAACTTCTCAAAACATCAAACCAGATCTTTCAAAAGTCTGGTGTGGAAAATTATTTTTGATGAACGATTGATCCAGTTTGTCTAAATACAATGTAGTTCCCCCTTCTGTTATCATTCTAAGGGTTTGGATCCCAAATATAATCGATACCTGGCCAGAGATTCCTCAACAAACGACAGCTTCACTTCAAATCCTGAGGTGAGGAAGAGGAAAGAACAAGAGTTACTAATGTGTGAAACTTCTGCTAATGTGAGGAACCATCACTCCTGAGGTCCCACCTGGTCTCAGATACATTCGTGCCGCCACCTCCAGTGACCTGTGGGTTAGATGAGGCACAAGGCTTCCCAGGATGTGATGGAAGCATGGCTGGTTGTGGGCCTGAAGACTTTGTAGGAGAAGCTTCTCTGTTTCATTGCGGGAACCTTAGGAAAGATAAATGAAACTTGTTAGCGTGTTAGCATTAATCTGCAACATTATAATTCAGTTTAAATCTAGATTCAATCTGGAAAATGAAGCTAGTGAACCTAAGGTGAGGTGAGCAAGGGCGAACATCAGGCTGAGAGGGGAGAGGATGACATTGGGCTGCTGTGAGCTGATAGCAAGCTTCTCCAGGATCTTCAACCCCAACTGCTCTATAGCGCCCCCTATTGCCCGGTGTTCCTCATGGCTGAATGTTCTCCCACAGTTACTGACATTTTTCTCCTCCTCTTCATCTGTGACTGGAGAGACTTCAGGAGCTGCTGTAGCGGGTTCTTCCTGAACAGACATCAACAGAGTTCAGATACAAATGCTAATGAGAGAAATGCCACGAGTCGGTTCTTCTTACAGTCAGTCCCTGGCGACTGAGGCACAGCAGCAGCAGAAAAAGACACAGCTTCATTTCCAGAGGGCCAGCCTGGAAAAACAGATACAGACATGACTGAACACCAGTTCTGCACAGTGGTCAGCACACTTTCGCTAATCTGCTAACTCGTAAGAGCTACTTTTTCACTTAGCACTTTATCGCTAAGTGATAAAGTGCGCTTAGCTTCTCCTATGTACTATTTTGTAGTGCATGTTGTGTCATCAACATGTTGGATATCCATATGGTCCAATTCATATTGTTCATATTGAACCATACAGATTATCTTTTGTTTCAACTAAATAATATGTTGGTCTAGTGCTTTAGCATTAGCAGAACTAACTTTGTGGTCAGCAGTGTTCGTCTTTGGTTCTGAACATTGATTCTTAAATTCAGGCATGCAAAAGGGAATGTTCTGTTCAGCCTCGGCAAACTTTAACTAGACCTGTCCAGCATGTGCTAATGACAGGAAATGATGTTATGTACAGCCTGATCACTGTGGTCCCGGCGTCTGTAACACATATTTTGGGTTTTCATCCTTTGCAAACTACAATTATCAAAATGAGCAGAAGCAAACTCTTGTTATTGTGCTGATATAACTATGAGACCCTCCAGCTTAAAATTTTGGATCCACCTCCATTTCTACACTCTGTCATGTGATCCATTAGATTTTAGAACTATCAGATGTCCTAACATCCTGTTTTACACCAAACTGGCCAACAGCTTTCAGAACCAGCGCTTATGTAAATATCCAGTCAGTGCAGAACCCAGGCGGGTCAGTCCGGGTCAGAACCAGTGGATGGTTCAGATGTGGCGGCTGTGTTTACCAGGAGACTAAAGGTTAATGTTTCAGAACCTTTTTTGGCTGAACGGCAGTACTCTGAATAAACACAAAGCAGAAAACACTGAACTGAGCATGAAAACGCAAACACTTTCCAACAGTTCAGGTTCTCCACAACAATCATAATTCAGAGATCAGTGGGTGATCTGGACACATTTATTACACTCACCATTAATCTTTACAAACAAGACATTATTAATGTAACTGATTTCTCCCCAAACAACCAATCAGACAAAGTTCTGATGAAATACGAGCTGACCCAAACTCACCTGGACTTCGCTTGAGAAGAGGAGATGAAAAACGGAGAATAATAAAGGAAAATCCAGATGTGATCAACCTTCTTCAGGCTGTTCAGCGTAGTGGACCCAACAACTGCCACCCCCATGTTAGCGGGTTAATAATCAACTCTGATCGGATTGTTGTGGAGGCTGTGGTCTCTGCTATACGTTCCAATCAAATAATGTTAAAGTTAAAATGTTCGTTTACCAGGATCCAAATGATCCACAGGGAGATACTAAATCTAACTAAATTCACTAATTAATCTTTTCTGTGTCAGATTATTTATGGAGCATTCAGTCAGAATAAAGCTGACTGACGGCTCTGAATGCTTTAGTTTGTTAACTTTAGCTGAATTTGGCCTTTTTTTATAAAGTGACTATTAATAACAGAATACCACAGAGAGCAACAATATATAAATCAACAAAAGCTAAACATAAATGTTGAGAAAAGGGTTTTTTTTTTTCGGCAAAAATACGAACCAAAAGCATAACTAAAGTAAATCTAACACCAAAAGTATGACAACTTAATGCTAAATGATACAACAATAAACCTAAATATGTTTTTCAAAGTAAGGCTGAGCGATTAGGATCCAGTTACAAGAAAACCAATAAGACTGTGGTTAACAAACAGGCTAATCAGGCTGTGATTCTACACAATTTTGTTTTCAAACAATAACATTTAGTATTTTTACTCAGTTAGCAGCGTAGAAAGTGACTGATTTAATGACACAAACTTAATACGTTTTATTCTCAGTATGTTTAGATTAAAAGCTGGAAATTCAACTTTAAAGGCTGTTTTTATTGTTGAGAAAAGCCCAGATCTTGCTTAAAAACCTACCACTTTTCAGCTCTAACAACAAGCTAAGCTACAGCAAATGGCTAGCTGGCTGAGCTAAACAATGTGAAACATCTAAGTTTTAAAAGACTGAGCATTTTTAGAAAATTTTGCTATATTAACATTAAACAGATAACATAATAAAGAAAATAGAGTTGCGTTTGGCAGATTAAACTTTTCTCAATTTTAGGCTTCATGATGTTAAGAGAATGAGCTAATACAGCTAGTTTTAGCAAAGAAATAATAAAGACAACAGATTAGTTTGATTAAAAACAACAATGCAAAGCAACCAAAACCTACAAAATATGATTGAAATTAACAATGAGAACAATAGCTATGTTTCCATCCAACTGTCATGTGAATTTTAAGCAAACATTTAAAATGTTGCAAAAAAGAAAACTGAAACGTAATTTAGCCGTGTTTCCATCTAATGGTTTGGAGTGAATCATGAAAGTGTGAGTTCAGACACTATGCACGGTTGTAATAAACAGGAATTAAAGGTTGGTAACTAGCATGAAGCACACATCTAAAATAAAATGGAGAGTCCTCCCCAGGAGGTCTGAAAACATTCCAGAGTTTCGTGCCTCTGGTAAGGCAGAGGCCCACCAGAGGATGGGATTGTTCGCTATGTCAGAATTTAACCAGTAAATGTGTTTCCTCTCCGTTAGCACATTAACTCTTACTCAGAAAAATCCAAAAACCACCTTAAGAAAGTTTCAAAATAGCACAGCTCAGATTTCAGTTAACCAACATCTTTTCGCTATTCTCAAAGTAAAGTTTGCGTTTTTATGAATAGGCTACATTTTTAAAGGTTAGAATGCTTCCTCCAAACCAAGATTAAAGTCTGACAGTGAAACTAAAAGGAATCAGATAATCTAAAGGGTCTATTATCTTTATAGACACAGCAAAAAGAGAGTAAGGGACGGTTTCAGGTGAAAGTCGTTTACGTAACGTTGGAACCTTCTTAAAATTTTCCACTTGTAAAGATGACTGAACCCAGCAGGAGGAGGGTAAACCCTATCCTACACTCTGTTGTGCCTCATTGTGCTTTCCACATACATCCAGAGTAGAGAGAGTGGGCGGATATTTGTCTTGTTCTGACCGCCATGTTCCAGCCTAACGCCCCCACATCGCAGCTCTGTGACAAATAGCGTCACCTCCGCCATCTTGGAAACCCTGACATGCTGAAGAACTTCATACCGCAGAGGAGCAGCACATCTGAAGAACAGTGGAAAACTAGAACTGTTTGCTCAGCAGCTGGAGCCGACTGAACAGGACCACTAGTCCTTTGGGGGAAATCACAATGCAGAAATATGTTCAAATGAAAAGCAGACACTGAAAACATGTCAGCAGGAGACTAAAAATACCAGTCAGCTCCAGCAACATCTGGAACTCACTGCCATTTACCCAGAGGAAGAGTTATAAACCAGAACCGCATTCAGAAGCTGTTTACTGTCATCCTCCTGTCCAATCTGCAGGTGGCAGAAGGTTCATCTGATCAAACTACTACATCTACACATACACATGAGGGGAATGTCCAGCCAGCACCGAGTTCTGGAAGGAGACGGGTTCTCCTGGGAAATATGTGAATCGACCCCAAAACTAAAGCTAAAGATCTTGTGAAGAAGCTGCTGAAACAGGTAGAGAAAGTTATTCTCCACTGTGAAACCAGTTCTGTCCCTTCATGGGCTGAAAGGCCAATCAGAGAGAAAGAAGCCATTACTCCTTAAAAAGCCAGAATAAAGTTTGTAAATATGTTCAGACATGAACATATTTACATCATTGGCGACTAGGCCCAGGACCTTTGTATTTGGGTGTTTCTGGTACAGCAGTAAATCTGACCCATAGCTCCTCCGGTCCCACTGGGCTTCATTTCTGTTTCTGTCGTTGGGTTCAAGTTGTGCTAAAAGCAGTTAGACTATTAGTGAACCTATGCTACCTTGAAATAGCATTTCAATGCTAAACATGTAGCAGCTAACGCTAATGTTAGTGTCCAGAGTCCATGAAAGATCAGAGAAACTCTGGAAAGATGAACAGAGAGAAAAACTCTTTGCTCGAAAAACCTGAAGATTAAAAACTTTAAATATGTTTGATGTTCAGGTCTGAGGGCTATTAATAAGTCAATAATTTAGCAGCAAAAAATGGTTTTTGAACTGAAAATGTTGCTGATTTTGTCAAAAATGTGATCAATCAACTACTGATCGTGCAATTAACTCAGTTAAAAATTTTATTCTTGCCACTAATTCATCAGTAAAAATCAAGTAATAGTTTGGATATTATTAAAGCTGTAAAACATATAACATTTTTACTTTGAATTTTTTTAAGTGTTATCAATTGAAAGAAATACAAAATGATTGAATCAAATTATTTTAAAAATAAAAAGAACCAAAAAAACAAGAATGTGAGACACTAAAGTATCAAACTTCCATCAAGTTCTGACATCACGACATATTTTGGTTCTGATAAAGAAATTTGTGCTACTATTAAAATATTATTGTGATAAACTTCTGCTTCTTCTTGAAGTGGTCACTCTGTATTTAATGTACTTTCATTTTTGTTGTTTATATTTGTTCTAGGAAATGTTATTAATTGAAAATTAAAATCAGTAAGAGCAATGTCACTACCAGCTGGTGTCCACTGGGTGGCAGCACAGGATAAACTGGAGCCTAATCAGCGTGACCTTGCCAGATAATGTAATCTACAACTACAGAGCCTGATGGAGTCATCAAATTACCAGAGTAAGGAGAAAATAATAAATCAGGACTGGCTGAATATTATATCTCTATCATTGTTTAGGGGGGAAACGGCAGCTGGTCAAATCTTGAGTCCATCACAGGACGAAGCAGCGCTATCAGATCAATCTGTCATTTTTAATTTAATCCATCGAGGTATGATTTGTTACCTCTGGAAGCGTCTTTAGCTCTGATTGTTTGCTGACATTCAGCCCAACTGGTGGAGCCTACGCGGTCCGGTCCAGTTGGTTAAACTGGACCAACTGTTTAACCAACAGTTGCAGACTCAGCTCCCAGAGCTGAGTCTGCAGCTCAGGGATCAGAAGAACCAGGACAAAAGATTCTGGTCCGGCTGAAGCCCTGAAGGACGGCAGAACCAACGCTGGGAGAAACTGGAGCTGAGCAGAGAACAACTTCAGGCCAAACAGAAAGAAACAAGGAAATGTTTAAAATAGATTTATTAAGAAATGTTTGATTTATTACCGCACAAAAGAAATAAAGATAGTTTTACTGAAACCATCATAAGAGTTGATTAATTTAACAAAGGACCATCTGACTACAGCCAGCATGCAGCTGACTGGGGTTCATTTCACAGCTGATAATAATAATAACAATAAGCTAAGAGTTATGATATAAAGAGTCTTCAAAGATAATCTGGATCTGTAGGATTTCACCCTGTCAGGTAAACCCAGCAGAACCTGGTGAAATCTTTTTGATTCCTGGATTAAATGGGATTATTTCATCCCAATATGTTTTAGTTGTTTCTGCTCTGGTATTATTAGTCTTCAGTTTAATATAATTTAGCCATTTCTTATTCCAGTTTAAACTTTTGGACAATCATACAGTAGTTTGTTTTTTTCACAGTTTTGTGTCTGATCCAGAGTTAGTTGTTAACACTTATTTAATGATTAAATACTTTATATTTTGCAGTTTGCTGAACAACCTAGTACTTTGTACCCACCTGAAACTGTGGATCTGCTGGACTTTGATGATTTTTACTGTTTATTTTTATTAAAGGTGAAGAATGTCAGGAAGAACCAACATGACGCAAACAGATCCCATTTCCACTTCTGTGTTTGTTCTGGTGAGCCTGTAGATAAAGTCTACAGGGACACGGTGTGTGTGTGTGTGTGTGTGTGTGTGTGTGTGTGTGGGGGTGTGTGTGTGTGTCCGTGCGTGCGCGTGCGTGCGTGCGCGTGCGTGCGTGCGTGCGTGCGTGTGTGTGTGTGTGTGTGCGTGTGTGTGTGTGTGTGCATGTGTGCGTGTGCTTGGGTGCGTGTGTGTGCGTGTGTGTGTGTGTGTGTGTGCGTGTGTGTGTGTGTGTGTGTGTGTGTGTGTGTGTGTGTGTGTGTGTGTGTGTGTGCTCTGACACACATAAAGTTAATATTTAGTGTCGGCTGTGAAATGGATCACAAAGTGTTGGAGAGAGCATAGAGAGAGGAGCTGTTCTGTTGCTTCTGACTTCTGACCGGATTGCTTAGATTCACTCATCTTCATCTTCTCCTTCTTCTTCATCTTCATCTTCCTCCATGTCGGTTCT